TCAAGCTTCCCAGCGAGGGTCCTAGTCCAGCAACTTGGAACTGGAGAGCTGGGCTTGTGGGAGCGCAGTGGCTCGCGCGGGCGGGGCTGCAGCCGCTCCCCAGACACCGGGGTCCCGGCCCAGCTGTTTCCTACCCACAACAGCCAAAGGCCCGCTTTGGTAAGTCCACGAAGCCCTCCTACTAAGCCAGGACAGGGCTCCCGCTCTCGATGTAGGGGACCACCCACTGCTCCGCCGCCCCGGTGAGGCAGCTGATTAAGCCACTTTCAGGATGTCTTTCTAGAATCTAGCCTCGAAGAAAGTCCTGTAAACCGACGTCTGCATCACAAAGTCGGGAAGCCAGGTGGAGTCACCGTCAAACGTCTCGGGAAAGCCACTGGGCGGGTCGGCAGACTCCCTGGGCCAGCACGTTGGCTTTCTCGCAGAGCAGCCGCCGCACCCGGTCCACGAGCTCGCTGCTTTCCCTGCGCAGGGTCAGGAGGTCCTCCACAACAGCCAACCTGTACGTTCCGCGCCGCACGGCACCGCAAGGCTAGTTCCCAGCCGGGTCCCTCCTGGCCGCGTTGCCGGAAGTGCGTGTCAGCGCGGGGGCGGGGAGGGACGGACTCCGCCGCCAAGGCAGGTATAGAATAGAGCGCCCGCGGGCAGGGGCGCTGGGATTAGTGGTCGGGAGAGCGAGGGCCCAGAGGGCTGGAGTCGGAGAGTGGGAGTGAAAGGAGGAAAGCAGGGGAGCGAAGGCCAAGCCTGAGGAAAGCGGTCTCCGTTTGGCAAAGGAATCTTACTTCGCGGCTGTGCGCGTTCACTTCCGGAGCTCAGTCCGCGGGGCGGGCCCTCAGGTTCTTAAAGGGAAAGCGTTCGCTGCGCAGCGTGAAGTTGCATTTCCTCCTTCCTCGCCTCCACGGTCTTCCCCTAAATGCTTTCGAGTCATAATGTGTATGGTTCCATAGCCCCGGTTGTTATCTGTTTTGCTCAAGGTCCAACAGTTACAAGAAGGCAATTTCTAACGAAGCCTTCCGTGCCTTCCAAATGAACTATTTTGGCGGGCTCCCACCCGGACAGGATGCCCCTCGCCCTGATGACTGGACAAGTGCAAGGGAGCGGCTGTCATTTGCGGAGTGCCCCTTGCGCCTCACAGCGCAAATTATCCAACAATTTCCCTGAAATCGATGCTGGTTTATTTTCCGAAGGCAAATCAGCAGCTTATACAGACACTCGGGCCACAAAGCCGGTGGAACCATGGGAGACGGCTTGCTGAGTGTCAGGTCTTCCACGATGAACTTAAACTTCAGGTGGTGGGCAAGCTCGGTAGGTGGGAAAGGCCCGGGTCCACATGAATGCAGTCCATGTTTATATTGATGAAAGGAACGCACACCATTTGGTCCAGTTCAGTCACTCTTACAGGTGCTGGCTATGAGCACTGGGGTGTGCGGGCATGCGTACAACCAGCAATTTAAGTGATGACCAGCTGCATGATCCCTCAATCTGAGTGGACAAAGTCTGTCAAGAACCACTTTCAAGCTTTTGGGACTCTTGTTTGTTTCCCTGTATCCAACGAGGCATTCCAAAGTTGACTGCATGGATCATTGCATGTCCGAAATACCCACGGTGAAACTGGGTAAAAAGCTTCAGGAGGTGATATTGATGTGTATAGTTTAGGAAATAAAACCCAATACTTTAAAGAATGTAATTTGTGGCTTTTTAGAGATAAGAATACTTTGACAGTTTTCATGTGTCATTTACATGGATATGGTATGTTTGACTCTGACTTTTAATTAATTTGGTATTTTACTATATGGAAACAACTTTATATTAATACAATAATGCATTTCCAAGGTTATACATTGTGTAATAACACTTTCAAAAGCAAAATAAGATACGCTTTGATACCAATTATTAAAACTTGTATTTTGAGAAAGAACACAGTCATACTCAAGTAGTTATCTTTGGGTGGTGGATTGTGGAAAATTTTTACTTTATACATTTCTAGGTTTTTGAAGGGTCCATATTCATTTTATAATTATAGAAACAAGTCATTGAATCCAAAAAGCAAAACTTAAGCTTAACCAACTAGAAACTGTCAACCAACTCCTAACTAGGGACTTTCCTCTTTAACCTATCAAATATTTTGCTTTGCTTTGTTTCTGCAAACACCTTACAAAAGTTTTCCCTTTTTGCCCCTACAGTGGAGTACTGGACTGCTTGTGGTCTAGTGCTGACTGATTCATGAGTCACTAGATGCTCAAATAAACTCTTTAAATTAAAAAGTAGATTAAATGAAAGAAAAACTTAAGAAAATAGAAATGATTTCAATTTTTTAACAAATGCTTAAATGGAAGACAGGATGCATGCAGAAGCTAAATAAGACTGCATTTCAGATTGAGACTCAATCTGAAGAACATGTAGTATATGCCTATTCCTTTATCGCTAGAAATTATTTTCTTTGCTGAGGAAAAAGAAACATGTCATTATATTCAATCTTCTAAAAAAGGAAAGCCATTTACCGAGTCAATATATGTTTTTTCTTTTTCCTTTTTTTCTTTTTTCGAAACAGAGTCTTGCTCTATCCCCAGGCTGGAGGGCAGTGGTGCGATCTCAGCTCACTGCAACCTTCGCCTTCCAAGTTCAAGCGATTCTCCTGCCTCAGCCTCCTGAGTACCTGGGACTACAGGTGTGCACTACCACACCCAGCGAATTTTTGTATTTTTAATAGAGACAGCATTTCACCATGTTGGCCAGGATAGTCTGAATCTCTTGACCTCATGATCTGCCCACCTCAGCCTCCCAAAGTGCTGGGATTACAGACGTGAGCCACTGCGCCTGGCCTGAGTCAGTATAATTTATGGAATTTATCAGGAGCTAAAAGTAGTATCAAAATGCCACTTAAATCTTACTTTGCACTTTATAATTTATATGAAATATAAAATTTAGGAACCCAAATGTAAGACTAGGCAGTCATGTTCAAAATGCTCAGGTTGTGCCTGCCATTGACTAATGATAGCTACATATATTCTTTTGCATGTATATATTAGAATACAAAATTTTAAAATATGTTCCCTGATATGTCCATAGATATGCAATGTCTATTTTTAAGTAATGAAACATAATAAAGCAAACACCCCTGAATCTAAGACCCATATGGAAACCTAGACTGTTGAATTTACTGTTATTCCCTATCCCATCTTCCCAGAGTTAACCACTAACCTGAGATTTTGGGTTAAT